GGGGGGGGGAGGGGGGAGCTCTGCAACTTATCTGGCTGCTTCTTGCTCTGACTGAGGGCTGCTGGGAGCAGGGGGCGGGGCTTGTTGCATGTGCCCGCCCCCTGGGCTCTTTACTGCCAGAGCTCTGCTCCTGTGCGCTCCTGCAGGAAATGACCCCTGACTATTTCTACAGAAGCTGATGAAGGCTACAGAAGCTGATGCTGCTCACACAATGCAGAGCGGAATTTGCTGCCAAAGATCCTTCTCTGATGGATTAGGGAGAGAGCAAGAATGGCAGCAGCTCTGAATACGACACAGCACCCTATCCAATGCTACCTCTAAGCTGTGGAGTCCTGTGAGCAAAAATTCTACTCTGTGAGCTCCTGGCATTAAAGTTGTGAGTGAGCGATTGGCCTGCTGCATAAAGTAATTTGCTCTGGAGCCACCCATCCTTCCTGAGCTGAGACAAAAATGTGTGAGCCGGAGGCTAAAAAACTGTGAGCTGGCTCGCACTGACTCAGCTTAGAGGGAACACAGATCCCTATCCACATTCAGACACCCATCTACCACTAACTCCAGGAACGCCGGGGAAGTACAAACACTAGGGAATGGGTTTTGAGACCATGCCTCACTTGCAAACTTCTAGCTGGTTCCCTCTCAGACAGGTCTGGAGTTGAACGGATGACTGCCTGCCCCCCATCCCGGAGATTCTTGATTTCCAAATATAGTCACGAAGAGGCTTCCCTGGCACGAAAAGACTTGGCTGGCGTGGAGATATCAACCGGGGAGTGATTTGAGACGCGGCAAAAGGAGGAGACAACTCCCAGAAGGCTGGTGAAAGACAACGTTCAGCGTGCCTCTCTTTTCTTCGGCAGTGGGCTCCGAACAGACAGAGTCCTGCAGACTTACGGAAGATCTCCCACAGGACACACCAAGGCCCAGAGCTCAGCATGGAAACGCACAGTTACAAGACACGTTCAGAAAACATGACGGTAGCAAGCTGTATCCCAGCAGCCTTCTCATGTTACACTCCAAGTGTTGACGAGTTGTTGTTGTTGTTCAGTCGCACAGTCGAGTCCGACTCTTCGTTGACGAGTAGCGGAGCCCAAAAAGCAACTTGTAGGGCATCGGCAGAAGTCCCTGGCCCTCGGACACATGAAGCTGCCTTATGCCGAAGGTGTGGGAGGGACAGAACAGCTACTCTGTGTAGGACTTTCAGAGTCTACAGTTTTCAGGGATAGGTGGAAGAGGGTTGAAGGGGCCACTCCACTTGAAGATGGGACACCTCACCAGGTAAAGGCAGACTATACAAAAGACAAAGTCACACCCCCTGCTTCAGCTGCAGGGAGAATCCACTGCCTTCCTCCTGGCATTACAGTACAAGTGAGAATACTGGTGACCTGGACCCTGGTTCTGGCACAAGTTGCCCCTCCTTCACTTCCACCAGGCTGTCCTTTTCTAAAAACAGGCTATATAAATATTCATAAGAACATAAGAGAAGACAATGTTGGATCAGGCCAATGGCCCATCTAGTCCAACACTCTGTCCAACACAGTGGCCAAAAATACCAGGTGCCATCACAAGGTCCAGCAGTGGGGCCAGGACACTAGAAGACCTCCCACTGTTGCCCCCCCAAGCACCAAGAATACAGAGCATCACTTGCCCCAACCTGAGAGTTCCTATCTATACCTTGTGGCTAACAGTCACTGATGGATCTCTGCTCGCTCCATTTGTTTATCTAATTCCCTCTTGAAGCTGTCCATGGTTGTAGCCGCCGCCACATCCTGTGGCAGTGAATTCCATGGGTTACTCACTCCTTGGGTGAAGAAGTACTTCCTTTTATCTGTTCTAACCCAACTGCTCAGCAATTTCATTGAGTGCCCATGAGTTTTGCATTGTGAGAAAGGGAGAAAAGTACTTCTTTCTCTACCTGCTCTATCCCATGCATAATCTTATAAACTTCGATCATGTCACCCCTCAGCCATCGTTTCTCCAAACTCAAGAGCCCCAAGCGCTTTAACCTTTCTTCATAGGGAAAGTTTTCCAACCCTTTTATCATTCGAGTTGCCCTTTTCTGCACTCATTTCGAAGTTGCATTCATTGCCTTAAATACATTTTTTCAGGTGCAAAACTTCTCAAGAGACTCCAGAAGGGAGATCGAGAGTGGGCGAGGCCCCCAGTGCCCTCAAATGCCACCTCTGCCTCTTTGGTACTTGAGAGGCAAGAGCACATGTGACAAAGCACTGGAAGCCAGCGAGTGTAGCCCAGCTGAGACTGTCACCGGGGAAGCCGCACCTGCTACACACTCACCCAGGGACCTCGGGCAAGGCACACCTCTCTCAGCCTCAGATCCCTTCTCCGGCTGCAAATGGGGAACGAAGCTACTCCCTGCTGTACCGTGTGGCGATTAACGCAGCAAAAGAGCTTGGGTAGCCGTGTTAGCAAGTCCGTAGCTGTAGAAAAGAGCAAGAGTCCAGCAGCAGCTTAAAGACTGACACAATATGTGGCAGGGGAGGAGCTTTTGTGAGTCACTTCAGGTACCTGAAGAAGTGAGCAGTGACTCACGAAAGCTCATACTCTGCCACATATTTTGTTAGTCTTAAAGGTGCCACTGGACTTTCTCGCTCTCTTCTACAGGAAAAAGGAGGGTTAGCCTAGAACAGAGATTCTCAAACTTTAGCAACCCAAGCAATGCTCCCTCTAAGCTGTGGAGCCTTGTGAGCAAAAATTCTCCTTTGTGAGCTACTGGCATTAAAGTTGTGAGCGAGTAATTTGGCTACTGCATAAATTAGTATGCTCTGGAGCAGTGTTCCCTCTAAGCTGAGTTAGTGTGAGCTGGCACACAGTTTTTTAGCCTCCATCTTACAGATTTTTGTCTTCGCTCAGGAAGGAGGGCTCCAGAGCAAACTGATTTATGCAGTGGCCAAACAGTTCCCTCATAACTTTAATGCCAGGAGCTCACAAAGTATAATTTTTGCTCACAAGACTCCACAGCTTAGAAGGAACATTGCTCTGGAGCCATCCTTCTTGAGCTAAATGTGAGAGCCAGAGGCTAGAAAACTGTGAGCTAGCTCACACTAGCTCATCTTAGAGGGAACACTGAACCCAAGGGGGACCCCCAATTTCAGTCAAAAACCTCCCAATGGACCCCAAGCCCATCCCACCTTCACTGGGCACACATCATCATGCACAAGATGGCCCCTTTTCAAAGTGTGCACAGCACGACAGAGTGTCGTCTCTCCATCCCTACACTAAAATCCATTCCACTGAAAAGAGAGTAAAACCCAGTTTGGTTTTCTAAAGGAAGGAAATAAAGGAGCTCAGAAGCCAAGCAGGGTTGACCCTGGTTAGTACTCGGATGGGACACCACCAAGGAAGTTCAGGGGGAGATGACGGCAAAGTGCCTCTGTACGTCTCTTGCCCTGAAAACGCCATCAGGAGCTGCTGTAGGTCAGCCGCAACTTGACAGCACTTTCCACAAGCCCCATAGCCAGGATTTTTTCCGGGGGGGGGGCCCTCCGGGGTGCCGGGGAAGCACCACTAATTAAATTAAATCTAATCCTTACCCTGGGGACCCAGCCATCCCTGGGCCACAAGCAATGCTCCCTAAGCTGCGGAGTCTTGTGAGCAAAAATCCTACTTTGTGAGCTACAGCCATTAAGGCTGTGAGCGAGCGATTTGGTTGCTGCATCAATTAGTTTGATCGGGAGCCATCCTTCCTGGGATAAGACAAAAGTGTGCGAGCTGGAGGCTAAAAAGCTGTGCGCTGGCTCACAGTAACTCAGCTTAGAGGGAACACTGGTCACAAGACGCTTCCCCTCGCTCTTGGGGGGCAGGGCAGTGCGAGGGGCAGAGAGAAGCTGGGCACACAACCCCGCCACGGCCTGCCCAATCGTCAACCCCTTCCCGTCCCTGGATTTTCTTGAGTGGTGGTGGTGGAGAGGGTTGGCGGGGGGTTGTGGTCAGCCGAGCTTCAGTCATCGCGCTCGCCGGGCAAGGACAGGTGGGGTGGCGCAAAGA